GGGCTGCTGCAAAACCAGAACTGTTTAAGAAATCAAGGTTTTTCTTACCTGAACAGCGCTATTCAGAAAGCAGCTGTTTTGTCCTGGTTCATTTAATAATCCTTTTGTAGGGGCCAGGGACAATATACTTCCGGGCTGATAAACTTTTCCAAGGTTACCCCCAGGTTTTCTTAAGAATTTCACCCATGCCATTATTTTTAGATTTTGTAATCACAGTACTTATGCTTAAATATTTAAGGATATGATGGGTGCAAGGCAAAGAAGAAAGTGTCAAGAGAATTGCTCTAAAGTTATGGCATTCCATTCAACTCTGTGCAATGGTAACCATTCATGGGCTTAAGTCCATTTCCCATGAGCAGCTGTCAGCCATCTACGATGATCAGCCTCCAAGTTAAAACACAGCTAAACAAAGTTTTTAACTGACTTAAAAATAAAGGTCCAGTTATGAGTAAAACATGTTAAAAGTTATCAGAATAAAAGTTCTTATTAAGCAAGTTGCACAGTAACTGACTCCTCCTTTCAGGGATATAAATAAAATATTACTATAAACCATTAGTTGTATGATTGCACAGGTTTTTGTACATATATATGTATCACAAAATGGGAAAGTTCTTGACAAGCGTTATACTCCTATTCTCTCATTTTGTTCCATCTTCTTTTCACTTTTAACTGTGATCCATAAAATATATTCCAGTTTAGAAGACGCCATCTTTATTTCATTCTCTTTCCAGTGAACCTGAAATAAGAAAAAAACCCAGAAAGTATAAAAATAAAATTTTCCAAAATGTTAGAGACAACCTAAATCAGAAAAAAGATCATGGCCAAAACAATCTCTTAATCTAAAGGCAGCTGCAATAACCAGGGAAGAGAAGGAGAAACTATTGCCACATACAAGTTCTTTTTAATGAAGAAAAGTTATTTTATCTGTCAATTGTCTTCTAACTTATTATATATCTCTAAAGACCACAACAAAATTACTGTAAAGGGTCTGCTAACAATATGGAATAGCTTATAAAAAGACAATATTACATGAGTTATTCTAATTTTGAATGTCCAAGTATAATAAAAAGATTACCAAGAAAGAAATATTTTTATTTAGCACTTGAAAGCCTAAGATGGCTTTGATTTCAATATCCCAGCAAATCACATGAACGGATATATATTTCTACACCTTAAGTTTACTAAGATATTATAGATGGATTCTCGGCTAGTACTCAGCTTTCAAACTTCTGTATTACTTAGTAAACACCACATAAACACATCACCTAGCTGCATTCTTAAAGCATCCAGAAAAACATAGCTAACAGCAGAGCAAGAACATTCTGGTAAATGCTCCAACAACTAATCCAAACAGTCAGAGTTGTTTCTCTCCTTGTTGAAGGTACATGTTTAAGGATAAATGATCCATCATCCAGACTATCACCACAGGCACATGTAAAGCCCATGCAATGCTCATCTCACAACACTGGATTATTTGATTGGTTTGGTATTACTACATCACACACAAATATTTGAAGTAACAGGACAGAACAAACTTAAGTAAACCAAAGTGATTGAGGCTGCATATTTGGGAAAGATATAAAAAAGAAGGTGCAATTGGGGCCTCACATTACAACTAAGAGATTAATTTTAGATTTTACAAGCATGTAAGATACTAAAGACACAACAGCATATGACAGTTTTCAGGCTTCTCACTACAATTTTTCCACTGTACAAGCCTTTCAAGATCGGTGAGCAGCATTAAAGTAAAAATACGTTTTGTAGCTGGGGAAGGTGACTCTCGCCAGTTCAAAATTACCAGCAACACATTCACATCAAACAGTTCTACAGCTCTAAAATATTGTATAGCTGAGATACCACAGGAACAAATCATGTCATTTTCAAAAATACCCCTAAAACTATTCCTATTCCTATAAGAAACATTGGTACTTGCTTGTAGTACAAAAAAAAAGAATCAATAGCTGGAACCTAACCAAAAGTCCTTTTTGCCCCATGCATAATCAGATGGAGTTTGTTTACTGATGCTACTGTAGCTCACCCATAAGTAATTTGATTTAATAATACTGGAAATACTAAGTGTGATTTGTGACAGCACTGAGCAAGGAGTCTGAAACTAACTGGAAACTGACCTTGACAGGATATTGTGATTATTCTGTTTTCTTTATGTTCACTTCAATAAACCCAGAAATAGGAAAACAAAAAAAAAGTTGTAGCAAGCAACTGGAAATGCATTTCAGCGAAAAATTTCATTAAAACTTAAATTAATTAAAAGGAGTATCAACTTCAAGTTTTTTAACCCTCACATACAAGTCAAAGGACTCCACAACATAACAGATATTCTTCTACAAAAGATCAAACTCCAAAAAAGCAGGGACAGAGGAGAAGGCAAGAGTAAAACAAAGATTATAATAGAAAAAGATGAAAGATTCTCTGAAGTCAGGTGTGCAGAAGTGATAACATGATTCATACAGAGCAATTAAGGGGAAAATCTTTTTAACGACTGTTCTCATTACAAAGTTTCAGTACAGTACATAAATAGAAAACAATTATTTGCTACAGTAAAGATGAATAAAGAGGACCATAGGAAAAAAAAAATCTAAGGTGTATAGCTGTATATAAGCAGATACATATATATGCACACATACACATTCAAGAAGCCAGTATCACACATCAAGAGTGCATAGTAATATGAAGCATCATTTGGCCCAAAGTCTTCTGCTATCACAGGGAGCCATAGCTTCTAATTCCTAAAAATGTTATTTTTTTAAAAATAAATGTTAAAAATCCAGAAGAATCTTATGTTCAACTCTTTCAACTATCAATGCTTATTAGTAATTTCTGATTTAATATTTCTATATCCATACTGAAAAATTGACCTAACACATTTCTGTCATAAAAAGAAGTTGCTCAAGAGGCTTCTATGGTATGTCAAGGAGCAAGCATTTTCCCAGTGATATGGAGCTCTTAGCTCCACTTTATATAATTTCCCATATGGAGAATTACATATGATTTTCTTCACCTTCCTGCTGCTGTCCCAGGAGAAAAAAAAAATGAAGATGAACCATTTTTTATATTAACAATATCATACTGGGTACATTGGAGGGAAGAGACTGGGAACAGTACAGATGGCTTGGGATAGCCATAAAGGAGTAAAGTGTTTGCACTTCAATGCATGTTTGAGTTATTACTCCTTGTGTTCCTACCTTTGAGTAGACAGGAGCAAAAGCCTCAATACAGTTTTGACCCCGAAGCATCAGGTTTGCTATCAGGGTCTCCCAATGAAAAATAAATTCCCTACTAAACACACTACACCCCATCTCCAAAACTGTTCATACAGTGGTACTTCACCAACAGTGGTGCTTCAGCTAGCCTGTCTCCTGCTGTCTGCATTTCAATGTAAAGATTGCTTAGCATATAGCAGCCAAAGGGAAGGAAACAGATGGAAAGTAAGGTAGAACAACTTGGAAACAGATCTTACATATTCTGCTGCAAGGCTGGGCTACAGTTTGTTTGTCCAAGGACAGACAATAATGGCAGAATTCATTCCCAGCCAAAAAAAGTTTAATCTTTGCTTCATAAGTTATTTTCTCATCTGTAGAAAAGGGTAATGATTGATCCAAATCATGTTAAGTTTGGGAAATGTTAGTGTTCTTTTCTTTCTTTAAATGCAAAAGAGAGACAAGTACTACAAATATCTGTGAAACTGACCCCTACAACCAACAGACAGAAATGATAAAACTTATATAAAAATTTTAGCTCAGTAGTTCTCATTTTCAGCCTTGGGACTTAGTTATATTAAGTCACATGGGCAGAAGAGATTCCACAAGCTTTTATGTTTCTTACTTCTACTTTCAAGCATAATCTCCCCATGTTTCTGAACCACATATTATGCATGCATATGTGGAGGAAGAACCTCTGAATTTACCTAGTCTGTATTTTAACTGATAAGAAACACAGTTTTGGAAACAAGTTCTTCCAGAACAATTTAAGGCAAAAGAGGATTCATTCACTATGAACTAGAAAGTAATTTTGTCTCACTTTTCAGAGATGGCCTAGAACAAACATCCCATACACTAAGCACTTAGTTGTTGGGCTGGGTTTCAGGAAAGTTATAATGATTCTCTGCAAGAATGCAATAAAAAATGTCTCTGGATTAGTTCCATGTTACTCTCACATTACATTAAGATGCTTACTGTTTAGCTTCACATCTACAAAGTTGTCAATACAACAAATTTCAACTATCAGACCAGGTAACTGTGCTCAAACTTATAATAAACTACTAATACATTCATAGTAGTTTTCACTTCATATGTGGGCCAAAGAATCGTGATATTATATTCATATGACCTCTATTAACTACCTAAAATATTAGCGAACCTTTTTCCTGAAAATGTACATACAATATTAGAAGGATCAGAACTGATTACTTGGAAATTATTTTCATGCAACCTTTTCAAATTACTTTAGCAACGCATTCTTTAAGCTGCTTCTACCAAACTAAACATACCTACCAACAGCAACTCAAGCATGTGTCAAGTACTTAAAAAACAAGAAGGGTATACCAAAATGGTACTCCATTTAAAAGATCTCTCTGTACCTCTACTATTCAACTAGAGCTTTGGCACTGAGCGTGCACTCTAGTCCCTTGATTTTTCTCCAACTCTTTCTTCACAAAACCAGTCACAGTCAACACAAGGAAGAGACAGTAGCTGTGAAATAATCCTATCTTGACAAACTAGTAAATCCTAGCCTGAAGTAGGAAGGCTCCACTACCCTTTCTTTCTCCACTCTTACTCTCTATCAAATACTAGGGTGCACAGCTTCTTATTCACTAGTAAGAGAGGCTCTGGAGGTGCCATAATCAATGGGATTATCTTCTGTTATCCATTTGTTATCACAGGCTCTCCCTAAGGAGAAAGTTTATAGCAGAATCTTGTTTTGAATTTCCATTGTAGAAATGCCTCAAAGTTTGGTTTTGTTTTAGAAAAAAAGAAACAATTCAAGATCAAAGAAAGTTATTGTGGAAGATGCTGACAAGGATATATGGTCTTTAGTCACAGCAAACTTTCCTGGATTTGGAACATCACCAAAGAATATTATTCCACTGCTGACAAGCCTCACCTCATTGTATATTGTTCCACACACCAGAGAAGTGATGCTGCTGATCAAACTTAGTCCCTTCCACCTCTCAT